ACCTGTCCCCAAGTCTACAGCAGTGTGTGGCAAGATTCAGGTCACATACCTGTCCCCATGTCTACAACAGTATGTGGCAAGATTCAGGTCACATACCTGTCCCCATGTCTACAGCAGTGTGTGGCAAGATTCAGGTCACATACCTGTCCCCATGTCTACAGCAGTGTGTGGCAAGATTCAGGTCACATACCTGTCCCCATATGTCTACAGCAGTGTGTGGGCAAGATTCAGGTCACATACCTGTCCCCATGTCTGTGTCAGTGTGTGGTAAGATTCAGGTCACATACCTGTCCCCATGTCTGTATCAGTGTGTGGCAAGATTCAGGTCACATACCTGTCCCCATGTCTGTGTCGGTGTGTGGCAAGATTCAGGTCACATACCTGTCCCCTTGTCTGAATCATTGTGTGGCAAGATTCAGGTCACATACCTGTCCCCATGTCTGTGTCAGTGTGTGGCAAGATTCAGGTCACATACCTGTCCCCATGTCTACAGCAGTGTGTGGCAAGATTCAGGTCACATACCTGTCCCCATGTCTACAGCAGTGTGTGGCAAGATTCAGGTAACATACCTGTCCCCATGTCTGAATCATTGTTTGGCAAGATTCAGGTCACATACCTGTCCCCATGTCTGTGTGTCGGTATGTGGGAAGATTCAGGTCACATACCTGTCCCCATGTCTACAGCAGTGTGTGGCAAGATTCAGGTCACATACCTGTCCCCATGTCTGTGTCAGTGTGTGGCAAGATTCAGGTCACATACCTGTCCCCATGTCTGTGTCAGTGTGTGGCAAGATTCAGGTCACATACCTGTCACCAAGTCTACAGCAGTGTGTGGCAAGATTCAGGTCACATATTTGTCCCCAAGTCTACAGCAGTGTGTGGCAAGATTAAGGTTACATACTTGTCCCCAAGTCTACAGCAGTGTGCGGCAAGATTCAGGTCACATACCTGTCCCCATGTCTGTGTCAGTGTGTGTGTGGCAAGATTCAGGTCACATACCTGTCCCCATGTCTGTATCAGTGTGTGGCAAGATTCAGGTCACATACCTGTCCCCATGTCTGTGTCAGTGTGTGGCAAGATTCAGGTCACATACCTGTCCCCATGTCTACAACAGTATGTGGCAAGATTCAGGTCACATACCTGTCCCCATGTCTGTGTCAGTGTGTGGCAAGATTCAGGTCACATACTTGTCCCCATGTCTGTGTCAGTGTGTGGCAAGATTCAGGTCACATACCTGTCCCCATGTCTGTGTCAGTGTGTGGCAAGATTCAGGTCACATACCTGTCCCCAAGTCCAAACAGTATGTGGCAAGATTCAGGTCACATACCTGTCCCCAAGTCTACAGCAGTGTGTGGCAAGATTCAGGTCACATACCTGTCCCCATGTCTGTATCAGTGTGTGGCAAGATTCAGGTCACATACCTGTCCCCATGTCTGTGTCGGTGTGTTGCAAGATTCAGGTCACATACCTGTCCCCATGTCTACAACAGTATGTGGCAAGATTCAGGTCACATACCTGTCCCCATGTCTGTGTCAGTGTGTGGCAAGATTCAGGTCACATACTTGTCCCCATGTCTGTGTCAGTGTGTGGCAAGATTCAGGTCACATACCTGTCCCCATGTCTGTGTCAGTGTGTGGCAAGATTCAGGTCACATACTTGTCCCCATGTCTGTGTCAGTGTGTGGCAAGATTCAGGTCACATACCTGTCCCCAAGTCTACAACAGTATGTGGCAAGATTCAGGTCACATACCTGTCCCCAAGTCTACAGCAGTGTGCGGCAAGATTCAGGTCACATACCTGTCCCTCAAGTCTACAGCAGTGTGTGGCAAGATTCAGGTCACATACCTGTCCCCATGTCTACAACAGTATGTGGCAAGATTCAGGTCACATACCTGTCCCCATGTCTACAGCAGTGTGTGGCAAGATTCAGGTCACATACCTGTCCCCATGTCTACAACAGTATGTGGCAAGATTCAGGTCACATACCTGTCCCCATGTCTGTGTCAGTGTGTGGCAAGATTCAGGTCACATACCTGTCCCCATGTCTGTGTCAGTGTGTGGCAAGATTCAGGTCACATACTTGTCCCCATGTCTGTGTCAGTGTGTGGCAAGATTCAGGTCACATACCTGTCCCCATGTCTGTGTCAGTGTGTGGCAAGATTCAGGTCACATACCTGTCCCCATGTCTGTGTCAGTGTGTGGCAAGATTCAGGTCACATACCTGTCCCCAAGTCTACAACAGTATGTGGCAAGATTCAGGTCACATACCTGTCCCCAAGTCTACAGCAGTGTGTGGCAAGATTCAGGTCACATACCTGTCCCCAAGTCTACAGCAGTGTGTGGCAAGATTCAGGTCACATACCTGTCCCCATGTCTACAACAGTATGTGGCAAGATTCAGGTCACATACCTGTCCCCATGTCTGTGTCAGTGTGTGTGCAAGATTCAGGTCACATACCTGTCCCCATGTCTACAGCAGTGTGTGGCAAGATTCAGGTCACATACCTGTCCCCATGTCTACAGCAGTGTGTGGCAAGATTCAGGTCACATACCTGTCCCCATGTCTGAATCATTGTGTGGCAAGATTCAGGTCACATACCTGTCCCCATGTCTGTGTCAGTATGTGGGAAGATTCAGGTCACATACCTGTCCCCATGTCTACAGCAGTGTGTGGCAAGATTCAGGTCACATACCTGTCCCCATGTCTGTGTCAGTGTGTGGCAAGATTCAGGTCACATACCTGTCCCCATGTCTGTGTCAGTGTGTGGCAAGATTCAGGTCACATACCTGTCACCAAGTCTACAGCAGTGTGTGGCAAGATTCAGGTCACATATTTGTCCCCAAGTCTACAGCAGTGTGTGTGGCAAGATTCAGGTTACATACTTGTCCCCAAGTCTACAGCAGTGTGTGGCAAGATTCAGGTCACATACCTGTCCCCATGTCTGTGTCAGTGTGTGGCAAGATTCAGGTCACATACCTGTCCCCATGTCTGTATCAGTGTGTGGCAAGATTCAGGTCACATACCTGTCCCCATGTCTGTGTCAGTGTGTGGCAAGATTCAGATCACATACCTGTCCCCATGTCTACAACAGTATGTGGCAAGATTCAGGTCACATACCTGTCCCCATGTCTGTGTCAGTGTGTGGCAAGATTCAGGTCACATACTTGTCCCCATGTCTGTGTCAGAGTGTGGAAAGATTCAGGTCACATACCTGTCCCCATGTCTGTGTCAGTGTGTGGCAAGATTCAGGTCACATACCTGTCCCCAAGTCCAAAGAGTATGTGGCAAGATTCAGGTCACATACCTGTCCCCAAGTCTACAGCAGTGTGTGGCAAGATTCAGGTCACATACCTGTCCCCATGTCTGTATCAGTGTGTGGCAAGATTCAGGTCACATACCTGTCCCCATGTCTGTGTCGGTGTGTTGCAAGATTCAGGTCACATACCTGTCCCCATGTCTACAACAGTATGTGGCAAGATTCAGGTCACATACCTGTCCCCATGTCTGTGTCAGTGTGTGGCAAGATTCAGGTCACATACTTGTCCCCATGTCTGTGTCAGTGTGTGGCAAGATTCAGGTCACATACCTGTCCCCATGTCTGTGTCAGTGTGTGGCAAGATTCAGGTCACATACTTGTCCCCATGTCTGTGTCAGTGTGTGGGCAAGATTCAGGTCACATACCTGTCCCCAAGTCTACAACAGTATGTGGCAAGATTCAGGTCACATACCTGTCCCCAAGTCTACAGCAGTGTGCGGCAAGATTCAGGTCACATACCTGTCCCCAAGTCTACAGCAGTGTGTGGCAAGATTCAGGTCACATACCTGTCCCCATGTCTACAACAGTATGTGGCAAGATTCAGGTCACATACCTGTCCCCATGTCTACAGCAGTGTGTGGCAAGATTCAGGTCACATACCTGTCCCCATGTCTACAACAGTATGTGGCAAGATTCAGGTCACATACCTGTCCCCATGTCTACAGCAGTGTGTGGCAAGATTCAGGTCACATACCTGTCCCCATGTCTGTGTCAGTGTGTGGCAAGATTCAGGTCACATACTTGTCCCCATGTCTGTGTCAGTGTGTGTGGCAAGATTCAGGTCACATACCTGTCCCCATGTCTGTGTCAGTGTGTGGCAAGATTCAGGTCACATACCTGTCCCCATGTCTGTGTCAGTGTGTGGCAAGATTCAGGTCACATACCTGTCCCCAAGTCTACAACAGTATGTGTGGCAAGATTCAGGTCACATACCTGTCCCCAAGTCTACAGCAGTGTGTGGCAAGATTCAGGTCACATACCTGTCCCCATGTCTGTGTCAGTGTGTGGCAAGATTCAGGTCACATACCTGTCCCCATGTCTGTGTCAGTGTGTGGCAAGATTCAGGTCACATACCTGTCCCCAAGTCTACAACAGTATGTGGCAAGATTCAGGTCACATACCTGTCCCCAAGTCTACAGCAGTGTGCGGCAAGATTCAGGTCACATACCTGTCCCCAAGTCTACAGCAGTGTGTGGCAAGATTCAGGTCACATACCTGTCCCCATGTCTACAACAGTATGTGGCAAGATTCAGGTCACATACCTGTCCCCATGTCTACAGCAGTGTGTGGCAAGATTCAGGTCACATACCTGTCCCCATGTCTACAGCAGTGTGTGGCAAGATTCAGGTCACATACCTGTCCCCATGTCTGTGTCAGTGTGTGGCAAGATTCAGGTCACATACCTGTCCCCATGTCTGTATCAGTGTGTGGCAAGATTCAGGTCACATACCTGTCCCCATGTCTGTGTCGGTGTGTGGCAAGATTCAGGTCACATACCTGTCCCCATGTCTGCAGCAGTGTGTGGCAAGATTCAGGTCACATACCTGTCCCCATGTCTGTATCAGTGTGTGGCAAGATTCAGGTCACATACCTGTTCCCATGACTGTATCAGTGTGTGGCAAGATTCAGGTCACATACCTGTCCCCATGTCTACAGCAGTGTGTGGCAAGATTCAGGTCACATACCTGTCCCCATGTCTGCAGCAGTGTGTGGCAAGATATCATTGTCAGGGTCATCATCTTCTGTGAGAGTTTGCTCCATCTGGTGTATCCGTTCCGTGAGAGACAGGTTCACAAAGTCTGTTAGGAAAGCATTATTCTCCACAGTGTTTGATCTGCTGGATTCCTTCGACTTTGATCTAAATCAGATTAAAAGTAATTTGTCTGATTACTTCTTCTGAAAAACACAGTTATTTGCTGTGTCTATCTGTATAATAAAATTGTAAACATTAATTTTAAACCTGTCTTTTTATGAATTATGTTCATGTTTTCTGCATAGTGGTAAAATCTCATAATGTGGATCAGTCACATGAACAGAAAACATGCTGGAAAACAAAGCATACCTGACACACCTTTTACCTCCAGACTCATGCATCATGGTCATACAATCAGTGATATGTGACCTTGCATTATCATGCACTGAGCATGTTTCTGGGCAGGAAAGCACCAACAGAAAAGAGCAGAGTCTGATTGAGTCATTTGGGGTAAATATTCAATTCTAAGATGCTTCGCTAAAAGTTCGAAAGCACCAACAGTAATTTATCAGGTAATAAAGTATACTTTTCGCATGACATCTCACTGTTTTGACGTCACTATGCCATTCTCCTCTGCCCCGTCATAATCAAATGGTCTCTTGGTAACCGACATCACAATGCATGTCAGTTGTCCACACCTCATACAGTCTCCTGCAGTAAACTACTCTGTAGCACCACGTTTCTTGGTTTGCAGTTGCTTCACTCTGCTAACATCACTGGTGGAAACATTACAATTAACTTTGTCGACGGAACAAATGTCTCAGCTCGACACGGCGATGTTCGCTAACAAACCCTATGAACATATTTAATCCGAAATAAACTGTCATCAAACTGTTTATCAATTGTTTTTCTGGTAACGTGCATCTTAACACAAGGGGGCAGACACATCAATAGAACAGCATGAATTAGCCCTGAACGAGGATTGTTAATTTAGGTCTCCGACGCCGTCTTTTCTCTGTTTGTCTTCTGCCTAAGATTTACTGTCAGTAAATATCAACTTTGGCATGTTAGAAAAGAAATACAGTTCGCTCTACACTTTTGCCCTGAACTATTATAGTTAAAGTACATGAACGCTTACGTCTGAGTGCTTTAACGCTATAATAGTCAGGTCATGTAGGTAATACATGGTGTTACATTTAATTTCTGCTTTAGTTACAACTGACAATAAACATTAAAGACAAGTTATGGGGGTACAGGTTATTTTCTGCTCATAGATACCGAAGAATCAACAGTGTCTAAGAAGAGCATAGCTGAGGCCAATTTCAAGAGTAGGCAGCTTTAGGAACTTGTTGTGAAGTAATATTGGTTTTATCTCCAGACCTATAGGAGTCTTGGGATCCTTTCCAATATCTAAAACAGGTAGAACCTCACTGAAATATGTTTCAGTGTTTCTTTTTGTCTCTGTGAGGGACATCCTACAGCATGTTATACCATTATGACAGGAGTGAGTGAGTTTAGTTTCATGCCGCACTCAGCAATATTCCAGCTATATGGCGGCGGTCTGTAAATAATCTAGGCTGGACCATATTATGACAGGAAAAGTAGACACGGAGTGATGTCTTGTAACTTTGCAATCTATTAGTGGATATATGGATGCTGCAACAGTTGACAAGGAAAGTCTCTATGGTAGTTATGACATTGTCTTAATAAGCAAGTTCCAGTTGTAACCACATTGAGTGACAGGCCGACATACTACTGGACAGTGTTCGCAATACTTTAGCCTGCTGGCTTTGAAATCTACAGGCCCTGAATAAAATCTGCAGGCCCATTTTGTTAAAGTCAAACCAATAAAACCAAAATAGACTACACTAGTTGTATTGTACACAGTTTCACTCTGTTTCTAAAAAGCCATTTAGCGAAACCTATGGCGGAAAGTCAACTTTTTATTTGTTAAAGACTGGTGTTGACATTCCTACGCATAAAGGACTGAAATACCAGGAAGTGAAACTGAATGTTATCGTAACATGATGGATCATTGATGATTCCCCAACAATAATAATGAAAACAATTATGGGATAGATTCCAGTTGAAACAAAAATTTGACAGATAATTTACTGAAGGCCACAAGGGCCTGCAAATATTTGAAACTGCCGGCCCGATACAATAACAACCAGAGCTGGGCCTCCGGGCTGGTGAATATTTCGAACACTGCTACTGGAATAAAGCATCTGTGCATTTTTTGATGTTGTGCAGTTTTTAATGCAAAAAGATAATAACATAATTTCTGTTGTTTTTCTTAATCATTGTTTAACTGTTGGCAGAATAATCTATTAGATTTGACACTATGCATCATGACATGCCCATGGAGAGATATTGTGTCAAAAGTCAGTTCACAAATTCAGCAACGTGTGTGTCCACCAATGGTGTTGATGCAGGCTTGACAACAACAATGCATAGATAATCACTGATGAAAGCTTTTGGGGGAATGTTGTTGTTTATCATCCAAACATTGACTTGCCTTGTCACCTCTAAGATTCAACGAATACGAACACGAAAACAGTTAAACAGTTTTTGACAATTTCAGCAAAATACCATGATCTGGGACAGGCAGTTATTGTATATGATGAAAGGGGTGAAGACATGGTTGAAATAACCATCTTTATTATCCATATGGGGAAACATAACCAGTGTCAAATGTATCATATGTGCACATATCATTTTTGCCTAGCAACCATTGTTTCTGTATTTTGTCGTCTGTGACGTCATTAAATAATTGAACATGACATCAGTTAACAGGGCCGTCACACTTGCTGACTGTGTTTTACTGCACAAATGTACATGAATAAAAGGGATAATAAACAAATTATTACACTCAAGCAAGTGTGTCATACGACTTATACAAAACTCGTGCAAAATTTCACACTCGTTTCCTATAAGTTGTATGACACACTTGCTCGTGTAATAATGTCTGTGAGTCAACATACCTGGCAGAAGACTTGTTCTGTGATGCCGGCCGACTGTCTTTAATGCTCAACTTGGAATTTGGACGACTTGAAGGCTGTATCATTGATATAACATTGTTAAACAAGTGAGAAAGAAGTATCTAATTATCTAATTAAACAACAACAAAAACAAGTCCTACAACTGCTAATGAGTCATGGAGATATATATTACCTCATTATCACATAGGTCTGCAGTCACACAATGAAAACTCACACAAAGTTAATCTTACACACTACTTTATCACAAACAAGCAGCATCCCATTGATTGCAAAAACAAAATACAATCTAATAATGGAAAACAACTTTCAAAATCTGAAGGAATTAAATTTATGAAGATGTCCATTAATAACCATAAATAACTAAGTACTATATAGTTGTAACAATATGCCCAGCATATCGATCAGTACCCCTTACCCTGACATGACATGTACTTTAGTCTGACATGACATGTACTCAAATCTGACATGACATCTACATAAGTCTGACATGACATGTACTCAAGTCTGATATGACATCTACATAAGTCTGACATGACATCTACTGAAGTCTGACATGACATCTACATAAGTCTGACATGACATCTACATAAGTCTGACATGACATGTACATATGTCTGACATGACATGTACTCAAGTCTGACATGACATCTACATAAGTCTGACATGACATGTAAGTCTGACATGACATCTACATAAGTCTGACATGACATCTACATCAGTCTGACATGGCATGTACATAAGTCTGATATGGCATGCACATAAGTCTGACATGACATCTACTCAAATCTCACATGATATCTACATAAGTCTGACATGACATCTACTCAAGTCTGACATGACATGTACTTTAGTCTGACATGACATCTACATAAGTCTGACTTGACATCTACATCAGTCAGACATGACATCTACATAAGTCTAACATGAAATGTACTCAAGTCTCATGACATTTACATAAGTCTGACATGACATCTACTCAAGTCTGACATGACATCTACACAAGTCTGACATGACATCTACATCAGTCTGACATGACATCTTCAAAAGTCTAACATGACATCTACATCAGTCTGACATGACATCTACACAAGTCTGACATGACATCTACATCAGACTGACATTCTGACATGATATCTTCATAAGTCTGACCTGGTATCTACATAAGTCTGACATAGGTCCCTCTATATGTGGTGATATACGGTAGTGTGTTATTATAACTTATAGGAGACAAGTGTAGATATCATGTCAGACTGGTTAGCACCTGCCTTCCTCTGTGTATCTTTATACGTGGTGATATACGGTAGTGTGTTATAGGAGACAGGTGGAGATATCATGTCAGACAAGGTTAGCACCTACCTTCCTCTGTGTATCTTTATACGTGGTGATATACGGTAGTGTGTTATAGGAGACAGGTGGAGATACCATGTCAGACAAGGTTAGCACCTGCCTTCCTCTCTGTGTATCTTTATCTCACGTGGTGATATCACGGTAGTGTGTTATAGGAGACAGGTGGAGATATCATGTCAGACAAGGTTAGCACCTACCTTTCTCTGTGTATCTTTATACATTGGTGATATCTGCGCTCACGGTAGTGTGTTATAGGAGACAGGTGGAGATATCGTGTCAGGCAAGGTTAGCACCTACCTTCCTCTGTGTATCTTTATCGTGGTGATATCACGGTAGTGTGTTATAGGAGACAGGTGGAGATATAAATTCTGCACCAGTGCAGGTGAAAATTGCCTCTTGTGCAGCCTATATCTCTTACCGGACTGCACCAGGTACAGCTTGAAAAATCGTATTACATTCAAGAATAATTTAAAAATAGATTACTAAAACGCTTTGAAACGTTAGCGATACGTAAAACAGTGGTTTACTTCCGCATTGACAAAAATAGACTTGACCTAAATACGGGCTTCATTTGCATATTCATCATGACAATGAACCAATCACAAACGCAAACGCTCGAAGTTTTTCCTACGCCATTGTTGCTAACAGCCAATGAAAAGATTCAAAGGTCGTAACTTCATTGTCCTCGGATATTTCGCGAGGACTCGCTTTGCACTCGCTTTTAACTTCGAAAAAACGCTATCGCTTAGTAACGAAGTCTTCCGCGCCTCATGTCAGCTGTCACACGTGTGTTCAACAGCTTAAAATGTCTGGACCGGGCGGGCAATCAAAAATCTTCAATTTCTTCGCTAAAAAGACACTTTCAGACAGAAAAGAAAGTGATGTTGATCAAGCAAGTGATAGAAGTGCTAAAACCTGCTTCAGGTGGACTTGATGACATAGAAGTGAAACCAAAACCAAGCACAAGTAGCTTAGATTGCCGAGAAACGTACGAAGTTCAAAAAACTTGACACAGAACCAAAGGTAAAGAAATCTAAAACTTATTCGCTTCAAAATGAATGGAAAACAGGGCGGACTGGTTAAAACATGATGACAATGAGAATGTAATGTTCTGCTCAGTGTGTCGGAAATTCGACAAAAGTGGGAAATCGAATGCGTTTCGTGCAGGAACAAAATCTTATAGATTACAAGAAATAAAAATTCACTTTAAAAGAGTGAAATTCACAAACGATCTGAATGCAGTGAACTTGCTGAACTTTGTGCTAAAACCTCATCTACTAGAGCGAAGTTGCCACTTGAACAATCAATTTCGAAAATGCATGAACATCAAACTGATATGTTGAAGGTTTTATTCACAACTGCATATTGGTTAGCATTAAATGAAAAACATACAGTGACTTTCCAAAGGTATTGGAATTGTTGTCAATTGCAGGAGTTGACAGTGTGGGCATGAACTATGCATCAGATAAACAGGCCAGGAGTTCATCAAGTTTATTAATGAATGGACAATGAGTGAAATTGTTTCTGAACTGAAAAGCAGAGTTTTTCGGTGTTGTGCGATGGCAGTACAGACTGTAGTACAACTGAGCAGGAAATAATGTTCATCAGATATGTTCATGATGGTTTGTCAAGTCAGTATTTGTGTGTTTGTCTAAAGTTACAAAGGCTGATGCCAGTCATATCAAAGATGCAATTGTGGAAATGATGCATGACAAGTTGGAGTTTGACTGTGATGAATGGAGATACAGCTTAGTGGGTGTGTGCTTTGATGGTGCTTCGACAATGATGGGTTGCAAAAGTGGAGTCGCAACACGATATTAAAACTTTTGTACCACATCTAGTTGCAATACACTGTTGCTCTCTATAGATTAGAACTTTCAGTAAAGGATTCAGCAAAGTCAATCTCCTACATGTCAGTGATAGATGAAGTTCTGTACAATGTGCACAGTTTCTACAAATATTCAGCCAATAGATGGAGGGGCTGAAGGCTGCCGCGGAGGCTTTGAACTGTAGTCTGTTGCGCCCAGTTCGTGGTTTCTGGTTGTCGATGGGTGCCACATCATGCAAGGGCTATCAAAGCTGTTCACCAATCGTGATGATGCAATCGTGACACACTTGGAAAATGAGGCAAGGGTTGGCAATGCTCACAATCAGGAAAAAGCAAGAGCCATTTTGAAAGTGATACAGTCTATCAAATTCATTATGTTTTGAACTTTTACTTGGTATTCCTAAACATGCTCTCAAAACTAAGTAAAGTCTTTCAGTCAGACAAGTCAGGCCTACACACCGTCCATGAAGCCATTGAAACAACATGTGCGGAAATGGAGAAGATGTCTGGGGATCACCTGAAAGATACCATGATGCAGGGTATTCATGTGACAGAGGTACCCAGTGATACCAAGAAGCTGTACCAATTCAATGGGCACTCCCTCAGCATACCTGAAAGGGCACCAAGCCGATCGAAGATTAAGGAAAACCTGAAACAGAAATTGCTAACGCTGTTTCTGATGGTGAGAAAGTTGTGGCAAATATGCAAGAAAACCTTGCCAAGCCGCTTTGACATTAAAGATGCTGTTCAGCAGGATCATCTGTACTGAATCCAGATGAATGGCCAAGGACCCAGATGTTCTCAGGACATATGGTGACAGTGAAGTAACAGAAATATTCACACATTTTCAAGCCCCCCTGACAAGAAAGGGATATTCTTTGGAAAATGTTCTTCTACAGTGGACTGGTGCTAAAAAGAAAATTCTGAAGATGAAAAGTGTTGAGGCAACATTATCGTTCCTTGCTGTATGGCAAAAGATGGCCCAGTTGCCAGAATATGGTGATCTTATGGCACTTGTGAGGATCATCATTACCCTCCCAGTCAATAGTGCCATCTGTGAGAGGGGATTCTCACTTATGAAGCGTGTTAAAACAGACTGGAGATCTAAACTAACGTCAGACAGTCTGACAGACTTGATGTCACTCAAGCTAAATGGTCCAGCTCTGAAAGACTTTAATGCTGATGGACCAGTAAGTCTTTGGTTAAGTAAAAGTAAAAGGTTCCCAAGACAGCCGTATGGGAAGAGAAAACCCCTACCTACTGACAGTGACTCTGCAGCATGGTCAAGGATGATAGTGATGATGACTTGATGACTGAGTGAGTAAATCTACTAATGCTAGTATGTAGCAATAATGTGACTTACCATACTAAGAGTTTCAAGACTAACACGATACCATGATGCACTTAATAGACTATGATATTAGTGCATCAAAACATTTTCTCCTTTTCATGCTAAGTTGTTCAGCTTTCTTCACATGAATAAAACAAAACAAGTGTATTTAATAGTTATTTTTAATTATACAAACTCATAAAATGGAACACATTAACGGACCACTGAGGGTGCAGTCTGAGTCTCTTTGGTGCAGTCTGGTATAAACACTCAACTGCACTTGGTGCAGGTACTGAAAAAGGAGACAGGTGGAGATATCATGTCAGACTAGGTTAGCACCTACCTTCCTCTGTGTATCTTTATATGGTGATAATGGTAGTGTGTTATAGGAGACAGGTGGAGATATCATGTCAGACAAGGTAGCACCTAGTGTGTTATAGGAGACAGGTGGAGATATCATGTCAGACAAGGTTAGCACCTACCTTCCTCTGTGTATCTTTATACCTGGTGATATCACGGTAGTGTGTTATAGGAGACAGGTGGAGATATCATGTCAGACTAGGTTAGCACCTACCTTCCTCTGTGTATCTTTATAGTGGTGATATACGGTAGTGTGTTATAGGAGACAGGTGGAGATATCATGTCAGGCAAGGTTAGCACCTACCTTCCTCTGTGTATCTTTATACGTGGTGACATACGGTAGTGTGTTATAGGAGACAGGTGGAGATATCATGTCAGACTAGGTTAGCACCTACCTTCCTCTGTGTATCTTTATCATTGGTGATATCACGGTAGTGTGTTATAGGAGACAGGTGGAGATATCATGTCAGACTAGGTTAGCACCTACCTTCCTCTGTGTATCTTTATACCTGGTGATATACGGTAGTGTGTTATAGGAGACAGGTGGAGATATCATGTCAGACTAGGTTAGCACCTACCTTCCTCTGTGTATCTTCATGCGTATTGGTGATATACGGTAGTGTGTTATAGGAGACAGGTGGAGATATCATGTCAGACAAGGTTAGCACCTACCTTCCTCTGTGTATCTTTATACGTGGTGATACGGTAGTGTGTTATAGGAGACAGGTGGAGATATCATGTCAGACTAGGTTAGCACCTACCTTCCTCTGTGTATCTTTATACCTGGTGATATACGGTAGTGTGTTATAGGAGACAGGTGGAGATATCATGTCAGACTAGGTTAGCACCTACCTTCCTCTGTGTATCTTTATACGTGGTGATATACGGTAGTGTGTTATAGGAGACAGGTGGAGATATCATGTCAGACTAGGTTAGCACCTACCTTCCTCTGTGTATCTTTATACCTGGTGATATACGGTAGTGTGTTATAGGAGACAGGTGGAGATATCATGTCAGACTAGGTTAGCACCTACCTTCCTCTGTGTATCTTTATACCTGGTGATATACGGTAGTGTGTTATAGGAGACAGGTGGAGATATCATGTCAGACTAGGTTAGCACCTACCTTCCTTTGTGTATCTTCATACGTGGTGATATACGGTAGTGTGTTATAGGAGACAGGTGGAGATATCATGTCAGACTAGGTTAGCACCTACCTTCCTCTGTGTATCTTCATTTGGACCGGTGAGGTCTTCGTCAAATTCCCTGTAGAGAAGAAAAACATATTATGTATCAATGAAGAAGTTACAATAAGAAAGGATATATAAAACTTACATTCTCTTGCAGATGGATCTAGTTTCTGTTTAACCTCACTCGTGTCTGTTATCATTTATTTAAACTGGTCAAATCATACGTAAAACACAGGACAGTCCCTCAGTTCTGAACAGAAGCTAGACTTTATTCTAACACTAGACATTAACAACTTTAAACAATAACATGTTACATCAAATTGAAAATGTAATTTTTTAAGTAAAATTGATATTTTATACTTATCCTGATTCATGATCTTTTGCTTATCTCCTTCTTCTATGCGAATGTTAGTGGAACACTTGAATCCCTTGTAGTTCCCTAAAGCGGACGTAAAAGTTCACTCACCCACGAGTTACCTCCCTTTCCCCGCGTAAACAGTCATGTGACCAGCCTTACTTGCCACTCTCTCCTGAATTTAGCCCATGCACTTGGATCTACTGTGAAATCCGAAGTGTTTCCAGTGGGGAGGTTGGGAGGGTTTGACCTCATGAGTCAGGATAAGTATAAAGTATCAATTTTACTTAAAAAATTACATATTTTTCCTTATCCTGACTCATGATCTTTTGCTTATAGAATCCGACAGATTGGTGGTGGGTCAAGCCACGTCGTGGATTCATCAGCTGTCCTTAGATACGTCCTGTATCCCCCCCATAGGAACTGCGTAACAGAATTTCCTAGATCCTGTTCTTCCAACTTCCGTTATAACTCTGGGGGGACCACAATCTTGTCTTACTTCTCTCTCAGACAAGTGAATCATGTGGATTAAGATATACTAGTATCTTCTTCTACTAGTTATCTATAACAAACCATAGATTATGATAAGATCGTTATAATAAATGAGTTGCGACCCCTTAACGCACAGGTAAGATCGTTACCCCTACAGAGTCTTAATCACTCATGCTAGCCTAGTCTAGACTGTCCGCATGGACTTTCAAACTAAAACTTTTCCGTAGTAAAAGTTATCAACAAGTGAACGTGATAAAGGGTGAGAATTCCAACTCAGCACCTTTGTGGAACCATTAGTTGTTGTGCTACAACAAGAGGCCCAAACTGGTGAATGTCGGAGACGTCTTCGGTGGCTATTTCTCTGAGGTAGTGGTTGGCAAACACCGTATCCGACTTCCAAAAGCAGCCCTCCATAATTGACGATATTGAGCAATTTCCATGCAGAGCGAGTGTAGATGCCAGTGCTCTGACTTCATGTGGGTTGGAAGCTCTTGGGGGTTCTAATCCTGCTGCTTTATAGGCTCTTAGTATAACGGCTCTCATCCAAAACGATATTGTCATTCTTGAGACCTCCACCGATGTCTCCATCGACAAGGGGATGAAAAGGCACTTGAATTTTCTTTTAGTCTCTTGAAGATATATTTTCAAAGCTCTGACAGGACACAAGGATAAGTCCTTTGTGTCCTCTGGAACGAGGAACGTAGATAGAGCTGGTACATGGAACTGTCTATCTGGTTGACCAGGTAGTTGATTCTTTGCAATAAATTCCCATCTAAGCCCAAGATGTACTGCAGCGCGGTGCCCCATGTCGAATCTAGTTCGTCCAAAATCAAGCGCATGTATCTCTGACATTTGAGCTGCCGTGGCTAGCGCAAGAAGGAACAGAGTTTTCTGTGTAAGTAGCTGGAAGGTAGTATGTTCTAGAGGTTCGTAGGCATCACTCATGAGAGTCGTAGAATTACGTTCAGATCCCAAGCTAGTGCTCTGAATTTCTTTTGCTGGTTTTCCAGTTTAAAAGAGCTTAGCAGAGCAAGTAATTCAGGTACTTTCGTCAATTTGATGCCTGTCTTCATAGTGACGACTGTACTAATCGTTGCCAGATATGTAGATAATGTTGAAATTTTCAGATGGCTTGTATATGTAAGGTGACACAGATATTCCACCACTTGAGGATGAGAAGCTTTCATAGCTGTGAAGCCTTTCCGCCTTGCTTATTATTCAAATTCTGCCATTTGTCGTCGTACAAATTGCAAGTTGATCTGTGTAACGCTAAGGTTACTGCTTTGGCTGCTCTGGCAGAGTATCCTCTTTTCTTTAGACAAGTTTTGATACGGTCCACATGTGTAACTGGAACATTAGTGGGTTCCCGTGGACTTGCTTGGTCTGCAGATGTATGAGTAGGTTCGGCCATTCTGGTAGTTTGAAGGTTGGACTTCCCAGTTCTTGTACTAGATCTTGAAACCAGACTCTCGCTGGCCAATAGGGCGCGACCAAAGTCAGTTGTAGAGTCAGGGTCTGTTTGATCTTCAATAGTACTTTCGGTAGTAAGATCGGAGGCGTAAACGAGTATGCGTTTAGTCCTTCCCATGATATGCTCAGTGCATCTGTTGCCCAGGCTTGAGGATCTGGAACTGATGAGACAAACGTCTGTAGTTGTTTGCTGAACCTCGTGGCGAACAGGTCTATGCATGGGGATCCTATTTCCCTTATGATGAGCCAAAATGCGTCTGGGTGGAGCATCCATTCCGTGGGTGACGGATGAAGTGGACGAGAAAGAGCTTCTGCTAGTATGTTCTTGGCTCCTGGTATGTGACACACCTTTAGCCAGATGTTTGCTTCCTCCATGATGTTAAACTGGAATGTGAGCTGAAGTAGGCTTGGTGATCTCAGTGATCCTGCCAATTTATGGAGAATGCCACTGTTGAGATGCCCATGTGGACAATCAGCATTCTGTTGATCAGTGAGCTCGACCAATGTTCTAAGGCGTTGATCATGGCTTTCATTTCCATCAGATTGATGTGAAGATACTGTTCTAGTTTCGACCACTTCCCTGATGCTACTTGGTTGTTGAGATGTGCACCCCATCCTTGTAGTGATGCATCTACGTAAAGGTGTGTGTCGAAGACCGGCTCTTGTAAATAGGTCCCTCCGCTGACATTCGACCTGTGGGTCCACCATAGCAAGTACGTCTTGAGATTGTCTGGTAGCGAGATCAGGTCGACGCTGTCCAGATGTTTTGCCAGGAATCATTGCAACGGGCGTAGTTGTAATCTTCAAGTCCTGCGCTGAGGTTAGTAGCTTGAGTAGACACTGCCATGTTCGTAGTGGTAATGAAGAGATGACTGCTTCTGGAATCATGGCTTGTATCTTGACCCAACGATCTTCTGGGACCACAATTCGATTCTGTGTTGTGATAATTTCTTTATCACCTGTTGATCTGAGGGTTCGCGAGCCCTGTAGATGTCTGCGTTGCCTCCTCCCTTCGTGAACCGTGCCTTCTCGAAACTGCCTTTCACGAACCCTGCCTTTTCGAACCTTCCTTTCACGAACGTTCGCCCGAACGTCTGCGTGCGCTGCGGGATCTAGATGAGGATCGACTGGATCTCAGAGAGGACCTTCTTGATGTTCTCGAACGCTGAGGGTTTGCAGACGCATCTGGGAGGTTCGTGGAACCTTCATCTTCCATGATGATAGAGTCTTCTGAGTGTGAAGAACCTCATCTGCAGGAGTAAACCTCTAGGGCATAGCTGCTTCAGGTTCGCGCAGGTCGGAGGGTTTGCGAATGTTGACTGCCATCGTAGGGTTCTGCCGAACTGCTGCTTCTTCAGAGACACCAACGCTCCATCAAGGCCATCATGTGCGTTGTAAACTGCCTCATAAAGTCGCCCGGGTCGAGGTTCTGCGTTGTAGGCTGGAACTGCTGCGTCTTGGACGAAGCTTTCGCAAACGCTCAGGTGTTGTCTACGTCTACTTCGCTGATGACTAATGTCTGTGTTGATGGAGGCTGGTCATCGGACAGCTGAGCAGCTGTTGTAGTTGCAGGAGACGATCTTGTTGTCGTGGAGGTTGACTGCGTCGCTCTTCTATCCGATTTGGGAGGTACTTCAGGTAGAAGTATCAGCTGGTCGGTCAGCAAAAAACGTCTGCTTCGGCAGGAGGCACAAATTCTTCATTAAACAATCTCTGATGAGATATTTTACCGGAACGAGACGACTTCACTGAAGGCCTGGATGCAGATGACTTCTGCGTCGACGTCGATGAAGACATCTTCTTCTTAGACTGCGATGGCGACGTCTCAGACGAGTTAGACCTCTTCTTAGCAGCGTTTAAATCCCGAACAACAGCAGACGACTGCCCCTGCAACGTACTCAGCAAATCGCTAGTATTATGTATTTCTGCAGTAGAAGACAACACACGGTTACCGGCATTATCTCCGGTTTATCAACAGTGACTTGAGGTGACTTCCTCACCTGATCCATGGTACGTCCATAGATGTAAGATAAATACTGATTAAATTGCAAATCTGATAAATTAATACAGTATCTGTAACGCAAGCTGGAAGAACATGGATTAATGTTTGACGGGCATTGGAGGTGAGGATCAGTCACTGATAGCCAGTACCTTTAAGACTGCAAGATTCATCAAATGTAAACAAACTACATTATGATGAATAAATGTTACATAATATGAATAATTTTATGAAAAGTTTGACACTAGATGAAAGCTAAATATAACCAAAAAACTATACACAGTTTAAATTGGATAAAGGATCTAAATATTAAAGGATATAGTGTCGTATACGGGACTCCAGTGCTCGCCCAACCATTCGCTTGGGCGATGAAGGAGAGAGTGGCAAGTAAGGCTGGTCACATGACTGTTTATGCGGTGAAAGGGAGGTAACTCGTGGGTGAGTGAACTTTTACGTTCGCTTTAGGGAACTACAAGGGATTCAAGTGATCCACTAACATTCGCATAGAAGGAGATAAGCAAAAGATCATGAGTCAGGATAAGGAAAAATTACTAGTTATTGATGTCAATAATTCTAAGAATATTCCACCATTGCCATTGATCCTTTTTTTTCGCTGGCATGAAACTACACTCTTCAAAAAAAGAAACGCATCTATGATTTTGGGAACATTGCACTCGTGTAGGTGCGGCAAAAACAATACAAATATACTATTTCTTTCCAAAACGTCATCTTTGTGTGATTGTAAACAGTTTCAGCGCCAAAACACACCAATTACAAGAAAACATGCAAGCAAAATGCACATTCAAGTATGCGGAAAAACATGCAGTATCAATTACTATAAAAAGGCAAACGTTGTGTTTAATTTTAGTCTGTGCCAAGACGGTGCCAAACAATAACTGCTGCCAAAGTTGCCATACAAAGTAATGACTATGACGCCATTTTGTGGACTCAAGTAATCAGAAACACAAAAATAAAGGCTGCTGCTGTGTTGGTGATCTTTTTGTCTATGGATGGGTGAATTTTCACCTTTTTACTATTGAAATTGCGTGAAATAATTGCTCTTAAACTAACACAATAAATTCTTCTCAAAATGGCTTATCGGTTCTTTTTTTGAACAGTGTATAAAATCTTCAGATTTTCAACAGAAGTCCTCTTCAGACTCATAGCAGAGGTAGACCTCTTAGAATTATTAACGATAAATGTTTTTTCGATAATTCTAATATCCTACCTCTAGTTCCTCCGTGTCTAAAAATTGTTAAATTTTATCACTTTCCCCACAATCGCATGTTCATGTCGTGATGGTTGTTACACTGTCTGGCAATAAAATGTTTTATTGTTTACTTGAACTTACATTTGTAATCTATTTTATTTATTTTAGTCGCATTTCCATTAGTCAAACTTCATAACTTTTAGAGTTCATACTGTGTTAGCCGCATGTGTTGCAGTGTGTGGAGGCCTACTGAGGTGTCACTGCCCCGTGACGGGTTACGGCACACACTGTCGACCACCAACTTGTCTGTCACCATGAAGAGTAGCCCCATACTATTAACATGACACTACTAGCCTATGTATTCTGTATCCATGCAAGTGTCTTACTTGAGGAAATCCTCTGTGTTGATGTTGTCCAGCAAGCGTGACTTGGATAGTGCAGCTTCCTGCTCCCGCTGCAAGCAAAGCAACACATCTTCAATCCAATGTTCAACACACACTTGCCACACTGTATCACACACCACAAAGTGGAAAGAGTCAGAAGTAAACAACGATGTAGTAACTGATGAGCCACAAACATAAGGTACCATGGCTGGGGTGTTTATTGTTGGCTGTTGTCTGTACAGTAACTCACACACAGCATGGAGGGGTGGAACACTGGGGTGGAGCACAGAAAGCTTGTCATGAACATTTAAACGTCAAAAGCCTTGATTTAAAATGTGTTCATTTTAAAAACTGGAGAGGCTAGAAGTGGTTTAGTTTCTCATTTGGTATGGATTACTGGTTGGACACCTAATATCTCAGAGAAAGTGTTTGTATGACTTGTCAACTGTTGTTCAAGCATGTTCATTTGTGATCTCAGTCTAGTAAGATGTTCAAATAGTGACTGCTATCATACTCATAATTAGAAATAATTACATATATTTACAGGTCATTAATCACCCCTAACTGGATGAATAATCATGAACACATTGGTTGCTGATAATACTGTTTATTGCTGACAATATGCAGATCAATAATCAGAGTTCAGTAATCAATCAATAATCGATTGTAATCACAAACCCAATCACAAAACTCTTGTGGCAATAGTGGGGCACAATCACAACATCGTACAAACCAAACAGGCGCTCATTAATACTACGATCAAGGATTATATCTGTTGTGATACAAACATGAGTATTTTGTTGACACTGCAGTTTTGCAAGTCATTTAACTGCATCAGTTGCTAATGTCTTGAATAATCAAACATAGCAATAAGAAACATACTTGCTAAAGTTTATATCGTTGTTTCATTGTATCATCAGTGGAATGAATAACATCCAGCTTCAGTTCGAAGTGGTTTTATGACATGGAACTTGATGGAATGGATAAATATTTGTACCGGTACAACCTTCATATACAGTGGACTCTAAACCGACATCCCTCTTATCCGACATTGCCTGTGAACCGACATATTTATTTGGTCCCAAATTTGTCCCTATATAATTCATATAAGAAACTCCCTCTAATCTGACATCCCCCTATTCCGAATACCAACACTCAAATCCAGTCCCAAAACGTGTTTTTAGTGCAAGTTGACTCTCTCTAAACCAACATTGTAATTTCACAAGAGATTGCATCAGCCAACACATGGTGTGTGTTTAGCAATCAACACGTTTGGATCCAAAGTGGCCTGCCAAGGCATAATAAGACTAATTGTTAATTACTTACTAATTACTTGTTCAATGGATTCATACACTTCATAGGTGAAATCACATATTTAGTGCTTGTTATGATTCATTGACACTGAGATCACTTGCTTGATAACAGTGTTAGTACCTACACCGAAACGTCGTCGCACTCATTGCAATAAAGAAGTTGACTATCCATAGAACTTGGCTTTCCTTCATCTCAATTTAGCATGGATATAGCCAGTCAGTGTCACCAACACAGATGATATTATAATCATGGTTCGTTACTGCACGACAAGTCACAATGGCTACCCATTGAAAGCACAATACAGAAGTGCTTTCATGCCTGTGGTTTTCTTTGTTTAATTTTGTCTGTATTGGGTTTAATTTTGGATTGAGTTTCTAAAAACTCCCTCTAAACCGACATCCCTCTAAACCGACATTTTTCACCGGTCCCATACAATGTGGGTTTAGAGGGAGGAGACAACTGCATTTGTCTACAGAAGGTTTGTTTATGATCATTCAGAAACTACAACCTTGACATTAGCATTTAACCATGCACAATGAAGTTGTTCTTAACTGACCTTTCTCACCTGGCAATTATATTACAAGAATCTACGTGTAGTAACCGATGCACCAAAGATCACTTAGCAGTGATACTGGCATACATACAGTCATGTCTTGTCTTGAGGAACTATACTCCAAAACAATAAGCTAGGGTTACTCAGAAATTCCTTCAAATCTTCAAATGTTAATGTAAATGGGTTCGAGACTGTAATGAAAAGTGAGCAAGAATGTGCGAGAGGACGCCATATTGCTTTGAGGGTGTAAGTGTACAGTGTAAGCGTGGGAAAGTCCATGGGAGATCAGAAGATTAAAGGAGGGATTTTTGACCATGGAATTGTGTTATCTATCATCTAAAATTTTAGTTCCCAGTATAAGCTGGATAATAATAATGGAACTAATTATGAAAACCTGACAACCATTCATATATCATGATCCCCTGCTTTATTCTAAGAATATACTCTGCTCCATGTTAGTGCAAACATGAAGTCACTCATACAAGTGACTTGGTCAACATTCTTTAAGGTATAAAACTAACTATGACTTGCTCTGCTTCACGTACTAGGGTAGCCAAGCCTTATACCCTGAATACTCACCATGACTTGCTCTGCTTCACGTACTAGGGTAGCCAAGCCTTATACCCTGAATACTCACCATGACTTGCTCTGCTTCACGTACTTGGGTAGCCAAGCCTTATACCCTGAATACTCACCATGACTTGCTCTGCTTCACGTACTAGGGTAGCCAAGCCTTATACCCTAATACTCACCATGACTTGCTCTGCTTCACGTACTAGGGTAGCCAAGCCTTATACCCCTAATACTCACCATGACTTGCTCTGCTTCACGTACTTGGGTAGCCAAGCCTTATACCCTAATACTCACCATGACTTGCTCTGCTTCACGTACTTGGGTAGCCAAGACTTATACCCTAATACTCACCATGACTTGCTCTGCTTCACGTACTAGGGTAGCCAAGCCTTATACCCTGAATACTCACCATGACTTGCTCTGCTTCACGTACTAGGGTAGCCAAGCCTTTATACCCTGAATACTCACCATGACTTGCTCTGCTTCAATGCACTTGGGTAGCCAAGCCTTATACCCTGAATACTCACCATGACTTGCTCTGCTTCACGTACTAGGGTAGCCAAGCCTTATACCCTGAATACTCACCATGACTTGCTCTGCTTCACGTACTAGGGTAGCCAAGCCTTATACCCTGAATACTCACCATGACTTGCTCTGCTTCACGTACTAGGGTAGCCAAGCCTTATACCCTGAATACTCACCATGACTTGCTCTGCTTCACGTACTAGGGTAGCCAAGCCTTATACCCTGAATACTCACCATGACTTGCTCTGCTTCACGTACTAGGGTAGCCAAGCCTTATACCCTGAATACTCACCATGACTTGCTCTGCTTCACGTACTAGGGTAGCCAAGCCTTATACCCTAATACTCACCATGACTTGCTCTGCTTCACGTACTAGGGTAGCCAAGCCTTATACCCTGAATACTCACCATGACTTGCTCTGCTTCACGTACTTGGGTAGCCAAGCCTTATACCCTTAATACTCACCATGACTTGCTCTGCTTCACGTACTTGGGTAGCCAAGCCTTATACCCTAATACTCACCATGACTTGCTCTGCTTCACGTACTAGGGTAGCCAAGCCTTATACCCTGAATACTCACCATGACTTGCTCTGCTTCAATGCATTTAGGGTAGCCAAGCCTTATACCCCCTAATACTCACCATGACTTGCTCTGCTTCAATGCACTTGGGTAGCCAAGCCTTATACCCTGAATACTCACCATGACTTGCTCTGCTTCAATGCACTGGGTAGCCAAGCCTTATACCCTGAATACTCACCATGACTTGCTCTGCTTCAATGCACTAGGGTAGCCAAGCCTTATACCCTAATACTCTCACCATGACTTGCTCTGCTTCACGCACTCTAGGGTAGCCAAGCCTTATACCCTGAATACTCACCATGACTTGCTCTGCTTCACGTTACTAGGGGTAGCCAAGCCTTATACCCTGAATACTCACCATGACTTGCTCTGCTTCAATGCACTTAGCTGGGTAGCCAAGCCTTATACCCTGAATACTCACCATGACTTGCTCTGCTTTCATGCACTAGGGTAGCCAAGCCTTATACCCTGAATACTCACCATGACTTGCTCTGCTTCAATGCACTAGAGTAGCCAAGCCTTATACCCTGAATACTCACCATGACTTGCTCTGCTTCACGCACTCAGGGTAGCCAAGCCTTATACCCTGAATACTCACCATGACTTGCTCTGCTTCATGCACTAGGGTAGCCAAGCCTTATACCCTGAATACTCACCATGACTTGCTCTGCTTCATGCATCAGGGTAGCCAAGCCTTATACCCTGAATAATACTCACCATGACTTGCTCTTGCTTCACGCACTAGGGTAGCCAAGCCTTATACCCTGAATACTCACCATGACTTGCTCTGCTTCACGCACTAGGCAGCCAAGCCTTATACCCTAATACTCACCATGACTTGCTCTGCTTCAATGCACTTGGGTAGCCAAGCCTTATACCCTAATACTCACCATGACTTGCTCTGCTTCACGCACTAGGGTAGCCAAGCCTTATACCCTGAATACTCACCATGACTTGCTCTGCTTCACGTCACCATGACTTGGGTAGCCAAGCCTTATACCCTAATACTCACCATGACTTGCTCTGCTTCACGCACTCAGGGTAGCCAAGCCTTATACCCTGAATACTCACCATGACTTGCTCTGCTTCAATGCACTAGGGTAGCCAAGCCTTTATACCCTGAATACTCACCATGACTTGCTCTGCTTCACGTACTAGGGTAGCCAAGCCTTATACCCTAATACTCACCATGACTTGCTCTGCTTCACGTACTAGGGTAGCCAAAGCCTTATACCCTGAATACTCACCATGACTTGCTCTGCTTCACGCACTAGGGTAGCCAAGCCTTATACCCTGAATACTCACCATGACTTGCTCTGCTTCACACTCAGAGTAGCCAGCCTTATACCCTGAATACTCACCATGACTTGCTCTGCTTTCACGCACTCAGGTAGCCAAGCCTTATACCCTGAATACTCACCATGACTTGCTCTGCTTCACCACTTGGGCAGCCAAGCCTTATACCCTGAATACTCACCATGACTTGCTCTGCTTCACGCACCTGGGTAGCCAAGCCTTATACCCCT